GGTGCATTACTTACATCTGACCCCTGCACTCTGAATTACTTACATCTGCCCCCTGCACTCGTTATGCTTCATCTCCCCCTACACCTGTCATGACTTACATCTGCCCCCGCACCTGTAATACTTACATCTGACCCCTCCCTGGTGAATGATTACATCTGACCCCTGCACCGGGTAAAATGATTTACATCTACCCCCCCCTCTGTGTTTTACTTACATCTGACCCTTTTCACTATGGCATTACTTACATCTGACCAATCACTCTGTGCATTACTTACATTGACCCTGCACTCTGTGAATTACTTTTCCCAAACCCCCTGCATTTGGTGTTTCCCTAATCTTGCCCTGGGGCTATACTGGTTTAAGAAGCGAATCGAACTGGCGAAGGGGAATTCGTTTCGAATATTGGGAAATTTTGATTGGCGCCAACAAAAATTAGCCAAATTTTGGGATGCACGAATCGTTTTTCCCAAAATGGGGGGCGACATGTGGGGCACAAGCGGGGATCTCTGGAAGGGGGCCCGAAAAGGCGCGCTGACCCATAATCATTCATTCATACATGTGATCGCTTAGCCAATAGCAGCCCCCACCCGCACTGTTAAAAGGTGGAGTTAAATTGCGGCCACTTTCAATTCTCCCTTAGCCTCCGTCATTCAAGAGAGACAAACCCGTTGTTTAGGGGGAGAGTTAGGGCCAAGAGCCCTTTTGGCCCAGAATCGTTACTTAGGGGCACAGAATCGTTACTCAGGGGCAAGAATTGTTACCGGGACACAGAATTGTTACTCAGGACGACCAGAATTGGTTTCTGAGGGGGCCAGAATTGTTACTGAGGGGCATAGAAATTTTTACGAGGGACACAGAATTGTTACCAAAGGGGCACAGAAATTTTTACTCGGGAACACAGAAAAGTTACTCAAGGGGACACATGAATAGTTACTGAGGACACAGAATTATTACTCATGGACACAGAATTGGTTACTCAGGAACACAGGAATTGTTACTCAGTTACAGACACAGGAATTTTTACCGAGAGCAGACACTGAATGTTTTACTCAGGGTACATCAGTTAGTGGGTTTATTGGTTACTAGCTCTTGGTAGTTGGTACAGGGACTACAGAAATTGTACTCAGTGCTTGACGAGAGAATGGATTGCATCCAGGCCCGTCCCCGGACTCGCTCGCCCCCCCGCGGGCCTCCAGAATTGTTATCTGAGGGTGACACAGAATTGTTACTGAGTGACACAGAAAATGTTACTGAAGGGGACACAGAATCGTTACTCAGGGTGACACAGAATTGTTACCTGCAGTGACACAGAATTGCGTCACTCAAGAGGATCAGACACAGAATCGTTTACTACTGAGGGACACAGATAACGTAATCTGAGGGACACAGAATCGTAGTACTCCAGCGGACAGACACCGGAATTGTTACTCAGTGGACAGACACAGAATTAGATGTACTCAGGGACAGACACAGTAATTAGACCTACTCAGGGACACAGAATTGTTTATCTCAGGACGATCACAGAATTGTTACTGAGGGACACATAATTGTTACTTTACTCAGGACACATAATTGTTACTGATGGACCACAGAATTGCGATTACTCAGGGACACAGAATTGGTTTACTCAGGGGCTGCACAGAATCGTTTACTCAGGGACACCAGAGTTGTTACTCAGAGGACACAAGTATGTTACTGTGGGACAGGACACAGAATCGTTACTGAGGGACAACAGATGAATTGATTACTTCCAGTGGACACAGAAATCGTTACTTCCGGGACACAGAATATTGTTACTCTAGGGCACACAGAATTGTTACTCAGGGACACAGAATTAGTTACTCAGGGGGACACAGAATTGTTACTCAGGGACACAGAATTGTTACTCAGGGACACAGAATTTGTTACTCCTGAGGACACAGAATTGTTACTCAGGGACACAGAATTGTTACTCAGGGACGGAGTGGACACTGAATTGTTACATAGGGACACAGAATTGTTTACTCAGGGACACAGAATCTGTTGAATTAAAGAGTATGTCAGGACAACCACGCAGAGGAGTGGCAGAGGAGGCAATGTTTTTAGGAGCGAGCAGACGTGGCAGCAGAGGAAGGGGTCGAGGCAGCACTAGTCGCAGCCAGAGGCCAGTGCTCCCGGTGTCATCAGCGGTCGTGTCTCCGACCGACAACCCTGCCGTCATCGATTGGTTGGCTCGGTCGTCTTACCTCTTCCCAGGTCACCTCTGACACCCTTACAGCCAAACGGTCGGTGGGTACGTCAGGACACAAACCAGTTAGTTGGCATGGCCCGGGAGCAAGCCCACTGAAATCATGTGTCCCTCCGACCTGCCCCTGTCCTTTGGTGTTCCCTATCACCAAGCGAAAGTATTCGCATGCTGTGGGCTCAGCCCACTGTACAGTGTTGAGAGAGCTAACAGAGTGCGGTCCAGGAACGGGGGAGACATCCGCCTCTTCAGCAGCCTAGGCGAAGAAGTAGTGGCGAGGAGGAGAGTGGCTCGGTAGCCGGTCTAGGGGAAAGGTATGTCTCATGGACCCTACACGCAGCCGAGGGGGTCTAGTAGAGATGCGGAGGAGACCCTAATTGATGGATGATGAGGCTGATCGCACTTGGCAGCCTCGTCATCATCTGCCAGGCCCCTAAACTGCCATGGGCCCCCGTACCGACTCCTCATGCTGCTGGCCAGGCCCGTAATCTGTCATGGGCCCCTTTACCGCCTCCTCATGCTGCTGCCAGGTCCAGAGTGTGTCATGGGTCCTGTAAAGGCCTCCCATTGCTGCTGTCTCCATCGCCACTCTCTGCCCGTGCCACTTTCAGGTCTCCTCACACTGCTGGTGGGTTCCATTTTGTCATAGGGTGCTGGCAGATTACGGGCCTCCCATTGCTGCCCCAGGCCCGTAATCTGCCATGGCCCCCGTACCGCCTCCTCATGCTGCTGCCAGGTCCAGGGTCTCATGGGTCCCTGTACGGTTTCCCCATTGCTGCTGTCTCCACGCCACACTCTGCCATGTGCCATTTTCAGGTCTCCTACACTGCTGGGGGGTTTCCCATTTTGTCATAGGGTTGGCAGTTTAGGGGCCCCCCATTGCTGCGGGCCAGGCCCGTAACTGCCATGGGCCCCCCCATACCCGCCCCCCTCATGCGCTGCCGGGTCCAGAGTGCTATGGTTCCCTGTAGGGGCCCCCCATTGCTGCTGTTCCACCCCCAACTCTGCCTGTCCCCATTTCGGGTCTCCTCACAGCTGGGGGTTCCTTTTGTATGGTGCTGGCAGATTACGGGCCTCCCATTGCTTTCTGCCGGCCCGAACTGCCAGGGGCCCTTCGACCCCCTCCCAGCGCTGCCGGGCCCAAGTTCTCAGGGGCCCTGTACGGCCTCCCATTGCTGCTGCCCCCATCGCCAACCCCCTGCCATGTCCATTTCAGGTCCCTCACCTGCGGGGGGTTCCTTTTGTCATGGGGTTGCGTATGGCCCCCCTTTGCGCGCCCCACCGCCACATTGGCCCACACTCTGGTTTTGGCCCCGTGACTCCCCAAAGAGTGAAGTGGCAGTGATTCTAAGTCGACGGCACCTCTGATGTCATATGATGACAGATTATTTCTTTTCCCCAGCGACTCCAAGGGAATTTAAATTAAAAGGGTACAGTGTTCTGCACTAAAAAAAAAGGCCTCTGAAGCCCAGGAAAAACCCTTTTTATAAGTTAAATTCGCGCGAAATATTCGATTGAATCGAATTTATTCCGCGAATTCGTCCGGAATCAGCCAATCGAATTTTTGAAAACTTGCTCATCTCTACTCGTGTTACTTATTCCTGACCTATACAATCTGAGAGTTACGTACTGCTGATCTCTGACTATGTTCCTGTACGTTACACACTCTGATCTAGAGCAGAATAGGCTCATGTTTTGTTTAACATACTTTTAGGTTCCTCTCATAGGGTGTTTCATCTGCTATTCTCCTTGTAACTGTCTCCCTCTGTTATGATCCGCAGGTGGTGCATAGGCTGCCAACTGACAGACCTACTCAGAGGCGTGGGACTAAGCCCGGGCTGTGCTTTCACAGAGCCCCTGTTGGTGGGGACGGACTTGTAACAGTCGGGCCAGGTCACGAACTGCCGAGGAGGCCCCTGTGGCTGAGGAGACCTTGGGGACAGGTACCGGGAGAGCCAGATTATGAAGAGGATGTGCGGCCCCAGAGGGTGGTAGTAACGGATCGTGGGCCCGTGAGAGGGTAAAGCGGGGTACGAATCGGTGGGAGAGTAGTGGGTCCAAAAACATGAGGGTAAGCAGGAAGTCAATCGTAGAATGGTAGGGCAATCCGGGTCAAACGCTGGAGCAGGCAGAATGTCAGGCAATCCGGGTCAACGCGGGAGCAGGCTGTGGAGTCAGACAATCGGTGGTTCCAACGCAGGAGCAGGCAGAATAGTCAGGGTCAACAGGGTCACAAGATAGGTGCAGGGAAATCTGGATCACAGAAGACCTTGCGGCAATCTGTGACAGTGCAGGGCTCTTTAAATAGTGGCCCTGCACTGTCATTGGGCTGGCTAGGACGCGCCCCCGGCTGTCATTGGACGCCTGAGGCGCGCCCGCGGCTCCTACTGCGATTGCGCTGCGTCCTGTCACGAGCGGTCGCACACCCGGGACCTTAGTTTTTTGTGCCTGTGTCCCGGCGCTATCCCCGCCACTGCGATGCGCGAGGGACGGTGCCGCGATCGCGGGACCTGGAGCCGTGGGTCCCTCTGACCATTGCCCCCCCCATATGGGCACCCCTCCGGGAGCCCCATGATCTCTCACAGCGGAGTGTGAGCTACGAAAACAAACTCCCGGATGAGCTTGGGCGCGGTGGACGTTCGGGGCGGGGTTTCCCATGACGTTATCATCAGGGCCATACCCCTTCCACTTGATCAGAAACTGTGTTGGCCCCCCCTCCTTCGGCAACTGAGGATTGTCTCCACTTCAAATTTCCTCCTCGGTCACCTATTAGTGACTGCTCGGGAGGTTAGATTCACGGTCCGGGAAGGGATCGGTTGGGATGGCTTCAGGAGAGATACATGGAAGACCAGGATGTAATTTGTTGTGGTTGTCTAGCGGTAGCTTCGAGCTAGTTTAGGAAACCTCGTTTAACCACTCTGTCTTTACCCGGAAAAGGTGTCCGATGAACTTGGGTGTCCCAGCTTCCTTGAAGGACGGGGAGCATCTTCAAGTTGGGGTCGTTGCTAGCCAAACCTTGATCCCCTGGTTTGAAATAAGCAGTAATTCTCTTCTGCTTTCTTCTTTCTGTCGGAATTGCCCTTCTTTACTGTCCTCTTGGGCTTTAGCGATGGCATTCCTGAATTGTCTTGTTATTGACAGAAAAGAAGTTCAAGATGTCTTGAGAAAGCTAATGGTAGGGGTACCGGATTCTCAGGCATCAGAATCAGGGAGGAATGTGGGATGATTACCCCATAATTGGAAAAGAACGGGGATTGACCGTGGCTGTGGCTGGAGTTATTCGACTCGGAGTTCTCGTGTTGTACGCGAATTCCGCGGAAAACTGGCAGCAACGACAGCCAGTCGTCCTGAAGGATAGGTAGTTGATGTGTTTGTCCAGCACCGTAAGTACTGTTCCAGCGGTCTGGGTTTGTTCTCTCAGTTTGGCCGTTGGTCTGTGGATGGTAGGCGGATGAAAGCGACAGCTTGATTCCCAGCGATCTTTCATAAGGCGTTCCAGAACCTGGAGGTGAATTGGGACTCCCCCCGATCTGATACTATATCTTCGGGGTACACCATGAGAAGCCTAACCGCATCCTTGATCGAAGAATCGTAGTGCCGTTTCCGGTGCTGATGAGGGTCTTCTCCAGGGGCACGAATTGTGCCCATTCTTTGAGAAGCGGGTCAGACGCGAGTCACCATTATAGCTGTGTAGCCTGGGATGGTGGAAGTTCGACCACTCGAAGAATCCATGGCTATCATTTGCCAGGCCTCGACTTGGGTATGGGTATTGAACGTAACAATACCCCATGCCCTGCTTCCTGGAGGTGCTTGTTCCTTTGACAGGTGGAGACAATCTGGACGTACTTGCTCACGATCCTCTGGATCATTGACCCTTGTCCACCCGAACGAGCGCCGTAGTCAGATCCCAGCGTCTTCGTTACCGCGAAGTGGCCCGCCAAATGATGTGGGTCTTGGCATTGCCGCAATGGGACGCAGGGGGTTCGCACTGATCTATCATTTGGACCATTATCCGTCTTCCTGTCCAAATTAAGCCGCACCGGTGGGCTCTGGAGGGGTGATTCAGAACCGGTAACTTGATATATCCTAGCAGAGAGCATCAATGAATGCCGGGGAGGCGGGCGAGTTCCGTATGTAGAGTGCAGAGGAAACTCCCAGAAGGAAACGATGTTGTCAGGTACACAGCGTCCCGTCGGGGTCCACGAACCATGCGGTGACAGGTGTAAGTGCTCTCTGTTTTAGAGTTCTTAGTACCGGGTCGGTACGTTATATGGAATGAGAATCGAGAGAAAGAAAAGCGCCCATACTCGCTTGGCGAGGTCTCTCAGTCGTTTTGCCGTTCTCAATCGTATTCAAAGCGAGTTTTTGTGATCTGTGTGAATATTTAGGATTGGGGTGTGTGGCTCCTTCCAGTAAATTCCCTCCATCTTCAAGTGAGCAGTTTTTAATGGCCAGGAGCCTCACCGTAGGTCTCGCAATGTCGTTCTTGTTGCGTTCCGCAGGAGTCAACTTCCTGGAGAAGAAGAACTCGCCACAAGGGTGCTGAAGTCCCTTGCGGTACCATTTACCTTTGGGACCCATTATACCGCCCATTCAGCATTTTTCGGGCGGCGTCCGACTTACCAGCACTTATGGGAGAGGAAGCATCTGGATGGCAGAGAATGGGAGCAGATGGTGAACAATTTCTTAGGAGCTTTTTTCGAAGGCTGTTCTGCGCTTCGGGTGTCCACATTAAACGGATCCCCTTGTTTTGTCAGTTGGCTGTGATCGGCGGAGTCCTGGTACCGGTGATGTTCCTACTAATATCCATCACTGTATAGAGAGTTGGAAAAACCGATGAATGAATTGACGAAACGCTTTTGTGTCAACCCCCTTTTGGTCGGCGGGTATTGGACTATTTCTGATGCGACAAGTTGACTTCGTCTGGCGGTCTCCATCGGCGCCACCGCGGAATGAGAGAACCCAGTCCCATGAATGTGGGTGTCGTGCTGTTCTCGAAAACAAGCACTTTTCTGCCTTGGCGTATAGCCCCGTGTGTTGACGCAATCCGTTCTAATACCCAGTATCCACATCCGCACCCCGGATGAAACCTCCAGTGAAGGGGAAGAAAAAATTAACGATGATCATCCAAATTAAACCACCACAAAAAAATATCAAGAATGGTCACGAAAAACATCACTCATTGGACGTAAAGTGTCTGGAAAGGTCGCCGTGTGCATTACAGCAGATGCGAGTCGAACAGCGGCAGCTACCAAGGTACTAGTAGGTGAGACAGAATCTCGTACGGAAACGCCGTCTTCCTCACTAATCCCCCTCCTGCTCATAGACACGGACAAGGTTATAGGCCCCCTCCGCAGGTCTAATTTAGTGAATATCGTAGTGCCGATCTCTCGAGCCTGCTGGAGGAAGCTCTGGGGACGCTAGGGTGTAAAGACGTATAACGATTCTTCACCGTTATTTCTTGTTCAGTCCACGGTAGCTATTAGTTATGCAGGGCCGTTACACTCGATTTGTCGCCCACTTATCTCTATTCGTATGAATTACACGGCACCGGCCTGGGGATTGTGGAATGGCACTAACGCAAATCCCTTCCGAAGGTGTTCATTATCAATGTCATTCCCTCAAGTACTCCTGATTTCGTGCTCTCGAGCACAAGGGAAAGATACGGCCGAAAAAGCTGATTTCTAGAATCCGTGGTAGGAGGGTCGTATGGGGCAGTAGTCGTAGGAACGAGTGTCTTGCGGAGGGAGAGAGAAGAACGTCAGCTCCTCTATCTTACTTAAAGAACGCTCTAAGAAGTCATGGTAGGTCCGGGGGAATAACCTGGACCATAGATCAGGTGTCCACCATCCAAGCACAGGAGGACCGGGGAGGAAACACACGGATCCATTGTGTACGTGTGGGCAGTTGTTGACTTTAAGAACAGTAGGGTGTAGCAAAATTGAAAATGTTTCCCTTTTCCCAGTCAATCTGGGGGTTATGCGGCCCTCA